GGTGCGGATTAACAATTTAACAATGGAAAGTCGAATGATAGCTATACAGTTATTGATCCGTCCCTTAATGATCAAACTTACAACTTTCTGATACATTTCTGTTGAATACACATTCCTTGAACTACACATATTTTGCTCATTATATATTGTATGGTTTTTTAGAGGACGGACTTCGATCATTTAAGCTTTTTTCTGCATATAATGTGGTTACTAAAATTAGACATGTTAAATCTTTGAATCAAAGAGTACTGTTTTTGTGAACTGATTGTTTATGTAAAAAGGTATTTCTACTCAATGCAAATCTTGTTTACATTGAAACAAATCGATTTTCGATGTGTTTTGATGCTACTCAATTCTCGTTTCAAGTAGAACATTTTTTATTTGAATGATATACTCATAAAAATATGTGAGCTCGCGCTCGACAGGGGAAAACACAAGTGGAGAATGGGAATAATATACAACAGGGAAGAAAGCAACTCTTATTCTCTCTTTTCAAATATACACACATATGAATATTTTCTAGTACATCAACTAATTGGAGAGAGATAAGTAGTCGTATCAAACAAGACAAAAAAACAACAAATTTTAGTTGGGATGGTAACTTAAATGTGAATAGGGGAGAAAAAACATACAGCTGATCACTTTCTCCTACTTGTCAGTGTTCGTGTGTATTTACTATGGATCTATGTATCTTTCATTAATTTGTTTTTTTGCCTCATTGTTTCTCGTTGTTTGGAGTCTAACTAAAAATATCGATCGCATACACACATCCAAACATACATATTTATGTTCTCACTTCGCCTATGACCTCAGGCTAGCTTAGTTGAAGAAGAGTTCATTGTTGGTTGCAGTTTAGTTACGTAGTACTGTTGATCCTACTATGTTTACTGCTGTTATTACTTTTAAATTTAGGTCAGAGTCACCAGGTGGGTAATCTTTATTATAAATCTTAATTTTCATTTATTTACTTATTTATTAGTTTTTTAAGTACCACGCGAAATAGATTTTCCTATTTAAAAAATAATTCTGATAATCATGGATACTAAATTCCAAGAGTTACTTTATTCAATCACAATATTATATAGTTCTATTTTCTTAAATGTGAAACAAAATAAAAAAATCAGTGTTAGAAATTCTATTCACTTTTAACTGTGCAAGAAATTAGATGTTAGACTAGTTATTACTTAGATGATGATACCACTAATTAGAAATAATACAGTGTCTGTATATATTTTTATCTGTTACAGAGAAATTTATATTTTCATAGTTGAAATGATGAGTCAGTTGAAGCTAGACCACCATAGACGGCCGTTTCATCCAATTGTGGCACTCCTCAGCAGTGCGCATCCACAATCCGACCTCGCGAGATTCGAACCCAGGACCTATCAGTTTCGCTCCAGAGCACTTAATCGATAGACCACTGAGCTGGCTGGCATCCAAGGGTGTTAATGTTTAACTTCAACCAATCCACGATGTTTGAGCAACCGTTCACCAGTTGTCTTCAGTGAGTTGATATCTTTACAACAGACTTGGTAGAACTCCACTGGTCACTGCTTCTCACTGGAACTCAAGGAAACATCCCTTGAAGTCAGTCACTAGTGAGCATATGATTATAAATCAGAAGGGGTTTTGTGGAGATTTCAGTAGTTTCATAGTTGAAATCATGAGTCAATTGAGTCAATATTTAACAAAAACTGAAATACTGTTGAAGAGTACTATAGTAGGGTGAAACAAATGTCTTGGTGCCTTTTTATTTTCTATGATTTTCTTCAATTGATTTCAGTCTACAAAATATCAACCTTAAGATTGAGAACTTTAATAAGATGTTTCAGTGGGAATTAACAAACGAACTAACTGGATTAATTTGCCGATCTAATGAATCATTCTGTTTTATATACCGGAAAAAAATTCATAGTTGGATAAGTGAAATAATATGAATGAATAGTTTAAAGGTGAAAGTGAGATAAATCAACATCTGTTGTGATAACTAAATAGAAGTTAAAGAATTTAAACATTACACTAATGTAATATAATACTTACTAGAATAAAAATAGTTTAATTATCATCGTATGGCTGATTATGAATAAAATTTTTCTTATCAAATTTTTATTTGTTTAAACAATAAAATTTATTGGTAATCTGATATCCTTTCACTAGAGATTAATTATACCCTTGAATATTCTTATATATATCTTTAATAAAATTTTTACTTAAAAGTACTTTTGTATCCAATTTTTCTATCCCATTTAGTTGTTCAAATTTGATTTTGTTGTATGAACTGGACCGTTGGTCATCTACTAACATTGACAAATATTATTTGGTAACATGTATTGTGGTATGGGCCGCATAAGTAGTATATGACGACGGTCAGGCATAAAATGTATTTCAGTAGAAGATCGATAAGGTAAGAACGGGAACGAAACGCAATTGGTATAAAAATGCATAAACAATAGTAATTGGAGATGACGGACTGATATTTGGAGAAGTAACAGTCAGGATTGAGACAATTGAGTGATAGTTTGCAAATTAATTCTTTACTGTATGGTTGTCAGATTTTAGTGAGATATTCTGTAATTTCGTGACAAACACATTCGATTGTCCCTACTCGTGTTCTTATTCACTAGATTATGAGTTTACTTGAGACATGAACACCACATCCAAATGAAACAAATCTATAATTCCAATAACGCAGGAATCGGTTTCTGGATGTAAGTCAACATAATTTGTCGCGGCTCTAAGTTCGACGAAGACTTAATAAACTGACTGTCGTTAACGTTAGAGAATAAAATCTGACGTTGGTTAATCTGTCCAGCTGTTGATTCTTTTTTAGTCTCGTTGGCGGTTGTCACTTAACAAATAAATGGCCCAGCAATAACTTTTGCGAATAAATCACTCAAAATTTTGATATGAGAAAAAGTACGATTTAAGTAGTTTAAGACAATAGTTATGGAGATTAATAGCAAAGGAAGACCACAGTTATTTGTTAATCAGCCTGAAATATTTAGCATCGCCCATAGTAATTACTTCATATCCCAAAATTGGAAAGAAGTAATGTCATGAAGACTATTCACCATAATTAACCTGTTAAATCCACTTGAGGATTCAAAGTAAGTGACTGAATGATGCGCTAAACCTCGAAATCAAAACACGAGATTGCTTTAAAATACTCCATTATTATCAATAGTGTTGGAAACCAGTGACTTATAGAAATATTGATTCACTAGGTATTTAGATCGCTTATACGTAACAAGCTCTACCGAAGAAGAGGTATTTTCCTTAGTATTTATCTAAGAACTATTTACAAAAAATGTTCGGTAAACTAAGTAACTGCCAGTAGATGTATCAACCCAACGATGGCAATCAACAAATAGAAACGAGTACTACGTAAGGGAAATATGGAAACTGTTATAAATAAACATATGTTCAATGAAAATATTAGAATAAAGATATTTTTTAAAACTGTTAAGAGAATACAATTACAATAGTAAGTGGATTAAATATCACTCATGTAGATATTTTGAATTACCAGAAAACGACGTACTAGTTATTTGATATGTCCGAAAATGATTGACATCGCATATACTACTGAATATTAGTGAGTAGCATAGTACAATACACAGAAAATAAAGACTGGGAGTGAAAATAGGATTAATATCAGAAAGGGTTTTGTGGATATTATAAATATTTTAATAGTTGAGATCATGAATCAATTGAAGCTAGAACACCATGGGAAACCTGGGAGCAATGGACAGCCATTTCGTTCTATTGAGGGACTTCTCAGCAGTGCGCATCAATGATCCCGCCTCACGAGATTCGAACTAATCCACAAAACCCCTTCTGATATTAATCAACATATGCTCACTAGCGACTAGCTTCAAGAGATATTTCCTGGAGTTCTAGTAAGAAGCATTGACCAGTGGAGTTCAACCAGGTCTGTTGTGAGATATAAACTCACTGAAGATAATGGTGGGTCGGTTGAAGTTAGACATCAACATCGTTGGATGCCGGCCGGCTCAGTGGTCTAGAGATTAAGCGCTCGCGTACGGAACTGATAGGTCTTGGGTTGGAATCTCGCGCTGCGGAATCGTGGATGCGCACTGGTGAGGAGTCCCACAATAGGACGAGACGGCCGTCTAGTTCTCCCAGATTTTCCATGGTGGTCCAGCTTCAATTGATTCACTATCTCAACTATTAAAAGTAGGACTAACCAAACCCTCAAATCGATAACAATATTAAGAGTTACGGAGAGTTAGCAGTTTTGATTGTATTTAATAAGAGAGTGTTATATTATGAAATACTAGATTGAGATATAGTGATACAGACGAACTGCAATTTTAGCGACTAAATCGAAACGTGGCATAGGCCATGACGTCATTGACCGTTGGACTGAGCTGAGTTTTTAGATGCAGACTACCTGATTGGGGTCGTCTTAATTATCACAAATTGTTAGGAACATGGAGTAATACAATTCGTAACAGACCTAAATGGTGCAAATGCATTCACTTCTTGTCTTTCCTAAAATCTTGAGTTTTAGAATTATCTTATATATTTTAAATTCCACCAATCATATAGTCTATGCGTAATATTTCCTTCTACCACTGGTATCTCGCTGTTACACAAAGATCCCACCTATTCAGGTCTTTAAGCTTTTTGTCAGTCTCTCCCTAAAACTAAATATAAGTGGGTATCGCAAGAATGATTCTGCTGTGATAAATCATATGGGTCAACAACTTCAAACCATAAACAATTATTTTATATAAAATGAGTGGGTTATGGTATATTCTAGAGATTTAATTTATACTTATATATGGTACCAATACCTAACATCTTTCTAATGGATACATTGTTAGCATGAATACCCTAAGGATTTTGTGGCAAGTTATTCACTATAAGTTGATTTTCAGATCATAAACAACAGTTTAATTATTATCAACATGACTTTTCGACTATCTATGGATCCTGTGCAGATTTAAGATAATAACGATTTAAAGAGAAGCAACAACAACGTTCACAACTTTATTTTTTCGTACTCATTTCGCACTGATGTGGCCAGTAGAAATATTTGGAGTAAACAAATTAGATGAGCTAATTAACACAGTTTCTTAAGTGTAGCGTGATTTAATTGATAAGATATAGGAAACAGAAGTAATTATCAATATTTTCTAGAAGAAAGTTAGGATTCCTACTTGTATCAAACAACTGAGATTGTTTTGTTGCACTAAACACAGTAGTCCAGCAACATGGTTTTTGATGACAGGGGAATTAAGTAGAATCGTAACAACTGTGCATACGCGACAGTAAATAACTATTCATCTTGTTTTTAGACATTTAAAACATTTTTAGAGATCATGAACATCTAAGACGACTAAACTCAGGGTACTAACAAAGGTAATCTTCATTCATTTGCATCATATTAGATTAAAGTTAATCAATTAGAAACAGTATAGTGTTAAGATTTCACTCCTCAATACTACATAATCGATTGTAGATCTCATAAAAAGTATCGAAAAAAGAAATCTTAGCACTGAAGCTGCTTACTATTTTAGAGGAAAAAGTATGTAGAGATATCAAACTGTTTAATTCTAACATTGTTAACAGGTTTGGACATTCATATCTTCATAACCTGTGAATACTGATATGTTTAAAAATGCTCAGAATGAAGCGTTCTTTTTTACTCAAAAACCCTATAAAAAAAACTAAAGGTTCTTTAAAAAAGACAAACCTATTTAAAAAATGTTGAGATACATTTGAAAAGTATGAAATGTAGTTTTTGTAACTAAATAGTTTTTAACCAAAAAAACACTGATGTACAAAAAATATCTTATAAGAGATTCAAGGATTTGGATTGGCAGCTGCCGCAGCCGCTGCTTGCGTTGCAGCTACTGCGGCAGCACGTTGAGCACCCCAATGAATATAATCAGATCGAGTTGCTGCACTATGTTCTTCAATTAAATTATGAACAACTTGTCTACTGTCAGAAAATTCTTTTAATTCTGGATCATCACGAAATACTTCTTCCTTACGAAATTGTTCAATAAAAGCACCACGAGTACGTAATTTATCATACTGAGCTAAGGTACGTAGAAAAAGCTGCAAACGATAAAGGAAGAAGATGAATAGACTAGTTAATTGAAATGACCACTCAAGTAAATAGAAAATAAAAACAAACCAAGCAAATAAAAGCGGCAACCCGCCAATAACATTAGAGGATGGTTGTGCGATATCGAGAAGTGATTGAAACTTGACATCCAAACCATTGGATGCCGGTTCTGTGGACTAAAGGTTAAACACTTTTCACAAGACTTAAAGGTCCTGGAGTTTCATATCCAGCGGAGTCATGAATGTTTATTACTGAGTCTGATACCAGAACGAAAAAGTTATTTAGTACGTTTTGTTTTCCAATGGGTATCTAAGTAAGATCAGTCGCATGACGTAAATCATGTTATACATATATTTTCAAAAAATAAACTAAACTAACTAACTGGTAGTCATATTTAGTACAATTTATATTTTTATCGAAAATATTTTATGATTAGAATTTTCAAATCAATTTCACCATGCTTTTTCATACATTAGAACAGTGTATTTGACAAATTTTTGTAACTTGTGAAACAACCACGTGCTAAAAATGACCAGTAGAGTGTTAAACATGTTAATTATATTTTATTGTGTTGTACATAAAATAGACTTTTTATAACATGTATCTAGTGGATTGATATTTCAGATAGAAAACTTTTGAATAATCTATTATATGTGAATTAGGCAACCATTTAAAGACGAAACCTATGGTAAGTATTTAGTGTCTAGGTTACGTTTTGTACTGGTCCAATAAACAAGGATGTTGAATTTCGGATAAATTCAAACTATTTGGTTGCCAATGAAAACAGAGAATGATCATCAAATATTTGATTGATGTAACTGATTTATCAAGTACAAAATTTGAATCTTGAGAGCTTATGATACTATCCTGGTGGTGGAATGTACACTTGAGCTCCAGAAATCCACCTCAAAGTTAGTAACTAGTAATCAAATTATTCTTGCTAGAATAGAAATCAGTGTCTAATGTTTAGTTTGACGTTAGTTTTAATAACTTACTTACTTACGCCTGTTATAGTTTTAATAACAGTCTTGTATAAATAAGGGAACCGTTGAGAATCAGGGAGACTAACAGAAGTTTGTGAATAAGTATTAACCGAATAGAGGATTTTTTTACACGAATATATAGAGCTACAAAATGAAAGATAAGTACACGTAAACACTTACAGTTGATATGCTTGTATGATTTGCAAGTAAAAGACCACTAACACGATGTGGTGTCTGAACATATGGAGATCGCCTAGACAGAGCGACTTGAATGCTAGCTGGACCCCAAGGTATAAACTGAGCCATACGGCGTTCTCGAATCCTCTGTAGTGATTTATGTACTTCAGTAGGATCGACTTCTCCTGAAAAAAAACAGGTCAAGATAGTTAAAAGCTGACTCGTGAAATATGCCATCAGGAATAAGGATAATTACGGATCAGATGGAAGCACCACTAGTTGACAAAAATGTTAAAGACAAGACTTCACTACAGACAAACTGTCAGTAATATAACAGATTATCATGATCAGGAACGAAGGGATTGAGTAGGGGATCGACATACTGCAAAACCATATATTTAGCAATTGCTAAAGTTTAATTCACTTTGATAAGCTATTTTAAAAGGGACAGACAATTATTTAGAATAATTAAATTGTTACATGACAGTTAAGCGAACGTACGAGGTCTATTAATTGAAACTTAACATTTTAATTTCATATTGTAAGACACTCATACTATCGTTAAGATTTAGTGACAGATCACAGAGAAAAAAATAATTGTCCAGGCGAAAAAAATTAGTTGATTAGAGTGAAGAGGATGAGCGATCTCATAAGTGATTTTATATATTGTAATAATTGACCATGTAATCACCGTATTTAATCCTTAGTCCTCGGTAAATTGTACACAATTGAATGTTCGCTAACCATTCAAAACCACTTTTTATTTGGAATAGATATTGAGGAACTCCTATGGAGAAATATACAGGATAAATTGTCAAATATCTTCAATAGAATTATCATTATACAAGCACATAGCGTTCTAATTCTTACATGTGGGAAAAACTGAACCAAACAAGCATACAAATAATCAATTACTTCTAGATAACCAATAATTAGTATTTGAAGAAATTTCTAGAAATTAGCTATATATGTAGTTTAAATGTTGATTATTACAACTTAAATAAAGTAATATTTTGACACAGAAGAGAGATTGTGAATTCCATTTGGTACAAAAGTTTCTATCAGATAAAGATGGAAATAATAGAACAGAAACAGTAGTTCAAGTTAACACAAAAGTAATTTTTAAAGTATTGCATTTCTGTACCGATTCATATTGAGTTCGTAAGAATGGCTTAGCAATCTTATTGAATACGACTGGAACTCTAGAAAAACATGTTCGCTAAACTTAGAACACTTGTAGTTTAAGTTAGAATGAAGATTTTACTATAACCTAGTTAGGTAATTCGTCCGGGTTAAAGGTAGTTCTTTAGAAAAACTGATTTCATGTGGAAAAATCGTTGAAAATTAAGTAGGGGACTGCAATCCTATTTGATCATGTTATGAAATCCATCAGCAGGGAGCACACCCACGACTCTACAGGGATTTACCAGTTTGTGTGTCATAATTTGAGATGGAGGACTACTCCAGGCTTGATACCTACCAAACAAACCAAACTACTATGGCGTAATAAAAAAAAAACTTTTAGTGAGAATAAACAGTTATTTAATGCTTCTCTCTACTACCTATCAAGTTTCACAACCTCATAAAGGAAGAAAAATCTTTAAAAAGAGTACTATATTGGAGGATTATTATCCCCTGGTGCTACAATGAAAGTTACAAACAAGTAGAAACAAACTTCCGGGCATTTGAAAAACAGGAGGAACATTTATCTTTCCCGTCCTATTAAAATCACCAAAGTAAATAACGGATTAATGATAGTTAAATAGAAAATTACCTTGGATTATATTTAGTATAGAAACATAACAATGACTGACACCGCGCTGTGTTGGAGTGGAGACCATCATATTTTTTGGCTGCAATAAACGTCTCATGACATCGAACACAGTTGTTCGTCGAATAGTTGGAACTTCAGTATCTGTTGTTAGTGGAGTATAACCAGTCATTAAGAAATGCAATCGTGGAGTTGGAGTCAATGGAGCTATTAAACCAATTAAATCATTATTCATATAGCTTGGATAACGAAGTGTAGCCGTACTTGCAGACATTACTTTGGAGACCTTAATTCATAGTAGAAAGATAAGAAAAGCATTGATCGCTTATTGATAACACAAAAATAAACTCGATGAAGTACTAGTCGAAAATGATTATTGACAATAACTGGAAGCCAAAGCTGCAGTACAAAAGAAGACTTCATGAACATTGAACTTAAGGAAGATACTGTTGCAGGAATATTGAAAAGCTGGATTTCAAAATATTTGAGAAAAACCTATTCCTCGAATTTTCCTATTGTCTTCCTCCAGCCGACCTACCATTCATGGATGCGTTAAGGATAAAGTTCTGCTTTGGGTCACATCAATGTGCATCTTTAATTTCACTTGCATTTGTGGAACAGGTTATACTGACCGCACTTAATGAACACTTTCCAAACACGTCTCAGAACATTATTTGAAACGTCTTTCAAAGGAGAATGTAAAATAATCAATGTCTCAGTATACGGATATCTCTTTAAATCAGTTTATATAGCCTTACTGGAATTATTCTTAAACATAACTTGCACAGTTGAACGAATTGAAGGGGAGTGCGAATTAAAAAATCATGAATTACAAAGACCTGAGCAATTCAAGTCTGAACTTTGTGTGCAAAAACAACACGTACAACCACACATTCGTTCATGACCTTAAAAACCCTTTTATTTCGTTTGAAGAAAAAAAATCAGTAATCAGTTGTCCTTGTTGTTATTTCCGCATTTTTAATCTGTTCTTTATATTTATCAAGTGGATAATTATTTTTTGCATTTCTCACTCGTAAATTATTCTCGTTTTACTATCATATTTAGACTTCTACGCAACCTTCTTGTGATACTTGAAATGTCCAAACACTTCACGGTATACTGGCTTTACTATTTTCAATGGATTATTACATCTTTTGAATCACTATAAATACGATTATACAGATTCAATAAATAATGCTATCAAGAAGAAACTTTTGTTTGCTGAATTGTCTTTCATTCCTCAGTAATAAGTTTATCAACAAGAAAAGTTTGTAATATTTACCATGGAATTTACTTCACAAAAAGAAAATTATGATGACATTTGGAAATTACCCTATTGGAACAACATAGAGCTGAACAAAACAGCTCAGGTAACAAAATTTCAAGACAGTATACAGGATGAAATAATAGGGATAGAATGTTTAATTATAATAAGAAAACATTTTCACGAATGAATTTATATCACCAGTACCGCTACAATGCCCTAAGGATTTTTTTATCCAGTTCTTTCTAAAAACTACCCCTCTTTACACACATAATGAGGAATAGGAAGAAGTTTTGAACGTCGCGTCTATATCTTAATTCGAATGGAGACATACATAACTGGAATAAGTAACTGGATTAAAAACAGATCATTTAGAAAGCAATCACCTTCAAATCCCTCTTTTAAACAGTAGCCACAAAGTAATTTAGTCAATAGGACTTTGTTGTAAATTCTCTTATTACGACCCAGCTATTCCTATTGCTTAGTATTCTTGAACACCGATTCACTCGACGAGTCCCCAAATCAGAACACTGTTGGACAGGAAGAAATTATATTCCAAATAACAAGGGTAGATGGAAGTAAGACGCACAATAAGGAATGCGTTAGTATATTTATAGTTTTACATGAGAAGATTCTAGAGTCTTCTCCAAGGATCGACTAGCGCTGATTGGATAAGAATTAGTCAATCAACGTGCGCCAACACAATCGTGCATGGAACATGCTTTAATCCAATCTATGTCCCACTAACACCTCCCCGTTGAGAAGATTCGTAGGATTTGGTGTTAGGGTCCAACTGCCACCGAGTGACTGGACTGTGTTTTCTATTTGTCCATCGTCTAGACAATAAGGAAGTCGTATCAATCTTTGCTTATACAGAAACTGACCTGTCTGTTTTCGGTGTTTTGATTTCAAAGGTGTTTAGAAGGGCGTCAAGAGGTATTCGATGTCGAGTCCCGTTGCTGGCTATCGAAGTTGCTTTCAGTTGGGTAGCATGACGTATCCAAACTTCTGAGCCAACTGGTACCTCATAAACCACATTCCCTTTCTTTCCCATGATCCGACCAGCTGTTCATGTAGGATGTTTTCCACGACAATCCACAGCAATTACTTTTTGACTCACCGTGAACAATCGTCTTTATGTCTCATGGTGTCGATTGAAATGCTTCTCCATTGATACGTTTCGTTGAGGCCCAAGAGCTGGCATCGGACGGATGACATCGGAATGTGTTCTTATTTTTCTGCCAAGTAGAGCTTCTGCTGAAGAGACCCCGTTAATCGTCTGATGGTTCGGTGTAGAGCGATAAATAAGCAGGAACCTCTCTAAGATCTCTTCGGTGGTACCCTCCCATTTAGATTTTTTCAGAACATTTTATAATGTACTGACAAAGCGTTCCACTTAACCGTTGGATTGGGGATGGAATGGAGGTGTTCGGACATGATTGATTCTGTTCTGCCGATAAAATTCTGAGAAGATAGCAGACGTAAACTGTGTTCCAATGTCGCTAACTATCAAATCTGGGCCCCCGAAATGACTGAATAGTTGACGTAGCTTTTTGACTGTGCAACGTGCAGTTGGATGTTCCATGAGAAAAGTTTCAGGCCATTCGCTGTATGCATCGACTACCAGAAGGTAAATTTGTCCATGTAGTGGACCAACAAAGTCCAAGTGTATACGTTGCAACGGTGAGTGTGGTATTGACTATAAATAAAGCTCTGCTTTTGTTGCTAATGCACATTTAGTACACGAACGAGAAAGCTGCTCCAGTTGGGTGTCTAAATGAGGCCAATATACATAACTTCGTGCTAGTGCTTCCGTGCGATTTATTCCAGGATGTCCTGCGTGCGACTGTTCGAGCACTGCTGGTTGCAGCTTCTTAGGGATTATGACACGTTTGGCAAACAGCAGACAGTCTTCGATAATTGAGATTCTACGCTGGTAAAACTGTTGAAGCTCTGTGGAGCTGATATTCGAGGGCCACCCTTCTAGGTGGAACTTTCTAACTTTTTGTAAGACTGGATTTCGAAGAGTTTCTCCTGACTTCATCTGACGACACTGGAGTGTTCCGAATGGCCTCTGCTACTATACTCCGTATTTCTGGATCTACTGCTGTGGAGGCAATGATTATGTCCTCTGGTCCAGGGTGTTGAACTCCAATTAATCGAGAGAGAGTGTCAGCTAGATCTGTCTTCTTTGCAAGTACTGGAGTGTCCAATGATGAACATGACACCTTGCAGACACTTGATGTGCATATTCATTACTCCAAGTTTTTTCTAACATATCTAGACCAAGAAGATCAAGGCTTGGCCGTTCAGTCAGATAGCATGTTCCTATACAGATATTTCCATTGAAGGAAAATCCACACTGTAATTCACCAAATAGTTTTAGTACACCTCCAGATGCATTTTTAGCCGTTTTCTTCGTTGGTTTCATTGGCGGTTTTCCCGGCAAGTTACAAGTTTCTCTGGACACTAGGGTGATATCTGATGCCGTATCAATTTGAAGACGAGCTAATATGCCGTTTATCAGGATATTAACATACTTTCTCCGAATGTTATAGTCTGTCTGAAAGGCTGCTACCAGAGAAAGAGATTTAGACTCGGTTGATTTCACATATCGAGGACGTTTATACTTCTTCTTGGGCTGGGACGTACGATTCAGTGGACAATGGCCTTCTTTATGTCCACATCTGCTGCATACCTGACATTTATGCCTCTTAAATGGACAGAATCGTACATAATCCCAATCACCACATAACCAGCAGGCAGTCGTTGACTTGTTACGAGTTGTTATCGGCTTCTGAACTTTTAACCTAGTAATAGCAATAAGACTACTGTAGGTTAAATTAAGATTTACCTGTTCAATTAACTCATTGTCGTGTCTGATGTTTTGTAGCTGTTTACACTTATCTGCCAATGTCCTGAGTGTGACGTTTGGATATTGATCCAGGCGAGTTAAAAGTCTAGTCCTGATCTCAGCATCTTGCGGTGACTGAAGAGCTTTGATGAATATTAGGCATTTGAATTGGTCTTCTGTCAATGAGAGTAACTTGAACTGTTCACATTCTCTTTTGATGACGTCTGCTAGAGCACCATATTCATCGGCTTCACGTTTCCCCAAATTTAAACACTGATATCGAATACTAAACAATGAGGAGGATTCACAGAATATCTCTGACAATTGTGTTACTGTCTCCTCGAAACTAAGCTCTCGAGGTAACTTTGGCAGTATATGATTAGCATAACGTGTATATTCATTGCTTCTCAACCTATGCATCAACAATCGAGTCTTCTACGCGTCGTCTTGCTTACAATATTGCCACAACAACTACTACAATTATTATGAAGAGCTAGTATATCCAAAAATGTCAAAACACGTATTTCTCTGGTTGGCTTAATTTAACTCTCCCAGTAAACAGTTCAGTTACTGTTTAAATCACTGAGTCTTTCCATGTTTCAGCCGAGATAATCTATGTGAAGTCGGCTGGAAGTTTAAGTACACTTTTATTATATTCATCAACTAAATTGAGAAGCAACTTTTTTTCAGATTGAAAATGTGTTTTTACTGGCTGGAAAAGAAATACATTCACCACTAGTAAATCTGTTAGCTAACATATTAACACGATGGACACAAATTGAATAATCTGAGTGGTTGATCATAAGTCTACCCAAAGTGATTTTTTTAACAAGCTGTTAAAAGTAAGACATACTTCTAGTGTATCAAATTCAAAGTGTTTACAAACCATTAGGAGATAAGCAAGATTTTATAAGTCCACCCTGTCAAATTGCAACAGCGTTGGATAAAATTCAGTTTACTTACAATCTGGGATTCTTTGAAAAAATTTGTAGTGGTTATAGCATGACCACTGATCATACAAAGGCAAGTATCATTGTTGACATCAAATAGACATAAGAAATTCAAATATAAAGATGATCACTTTCATGTTAATGATACCTACCAGCTGATTGATTTGTGCAAATGATGGATTCTCAATATGTAAACGATCAGTAGCTATACGATGCAGAGCAGTATTATCTAGAACAACCTGTGAAAAAACAAAGATTTAAAAAGATAGGTTTACAGGTGTTAATACATTCCACTGACTGATAACATTATACGTTTAATAAACATGATAATTGCAAACAGAACACTATCGGTGGACCATATATAATATAAATGATTAGCAGTAAATCAAAATAATTAACTAATTGTTTTCACATTTTGTCAATAAGAAACAACTGATGAAAATTAGTTTTTTTTTCGCACCTCATTGTGTTGACTTTTTTCAATTATTAATAACATTCTTTAGTGGATTTTTGCCGTGAAATCTTGTGAAACATTGATGGCAGAAATTATGGGATATAATTAGCGTCAATAACTTATCATTCTTTTGAAGGAGATGAAAATAAGTTTACTTAATATTCAGAAATCAGCTAATTGACAATATTTTGCAAAATAATAAACGCTTAATATGTTGTTAAACAAAGGATACAACAAGACTGCAAACAATGTTTAGTACAAGTCTATATTAGCAGGAAATTAATGAAGATCAGAGAATGATTAGATCATGTTTTGTTTTGCTCTACGGATAATCAGTAGTATGTATAATCAAACCAGTTAGTTACTAAGAAATGAAACTGTAAATTTCTACAAAAGTGAACTGTATATTCTTAATCTCAATAATTTATGCTTTTTTAACAATGCAAAGCAGTCACTAGCTTGTATTGCAACGTATGTAATGACTAATTTATCTATATCATATTAATGGATGGTGATCTAATAATATATTAACGCCTACGTTAGCAATCTGGGAATATCTAAACAAGTAGAATATACCTGTGAATAATTGAACAACATATAAGCATTTGTTAGAGATATTTTTGATAATCACTTACAACTACATAAATTTACTGTACACATATCTGGTGGTTATATAACTAAGAGAAAAGCTAAACCCTATTTGTCTTAAAATTAATTCTTATTTTTACACGATTTCATGTTTAAATAATTTATATGCGGACAATGATGGGAAAAGTTTTATTGTCACTATTAGATAAAATAGGAATGAAGCAAAACTATTTTAAGTGTAGTGACAGAGTAACTGTTCAAATACAGTTAACCAATGTTTTCAATGATATTATGATATATTCTCTTAGTAGATCGTTTTTAAGGGATTAATTCAAATAAGAAAACTTACTACTTTTACGATGTCAAAGCTGTTATTACCCACGGGGAAAGATATTACACCTATAAAATGCGTTGTGGTTGGATACAATGATATGTAAATGATTTCAACAAAAGATGTACTGTATAGCAAAGTGGAAACAAACAAACCGGTTAGTGGTAATTCCAGTCTAAATACAAATGAACTTTAGGTGTTATTTTCTCTTCATGTAGTTTTTAGTTTAAGTATCTTTTTACTTAGGTTAATTAGTTCAAGCTAGTTGTTAGGTGTATCCATCATACGGTAAAGTTGGAGTACCAGAGATAATCTCTAGATTGACACTGGTACACTTTTTCGGTGAGAGAAAGGTATAGAATATATAAAATTTATGCAAAAATCATTACATAGTATTATGTGTAATACGAGGACTCACCACACAGTCAGCATTCAAAGTTAGACGTTTAAGTGTTAACAAACTGTTATAAGGCTGAACAACAACATCACTAGTTTCTTCTAAATTTGGGAATACTGAATACGTTTGAATAAGTTTTTTGGGGAAGTGTGAATTCAGACGTTCAAGAATAAATGAACCCATCCCAGACCCTGTTCCTCCAGCGATAGAATGAGTCATTACGAAGCCCTTGTTAGAAAAAAAGTAGTGCATTAGTATTAAATATATACAGGGTATAAACTAACAATTTAATTACTTTTGGAAGTGTAAATACATATAGTGGCATTAAGAGACCTAATGTTTAACTAATACACACAACAAACTGTTAAGCTTAATAAAAAGTATGTAGGGATACAAAATAGGGACATTACTTCTTCAATGAAGAATTCACATTGCTAAAGACATGTCTAGAAGAATTGCACTATAGTATATTGAACTCCTTACGATAATACTGGCTGTATAATTGAAGCATTTGACTATGGAGTTGAGATTTCACGTACATTGTAATTATATATCATGCTGAACAGAGTTATCTACAAATCTCCGACCAGTTCAGTACGTGAATAATAACTATATTTTGGCAACTCTTCTACGATCTATGCAGATAAAGTCAGAGTTTTGCAAATTACTGACTTCAGAATAAGGATTTAAATCAAATAATCAACATTATCTCTTATTTTTGAGCTTAAGAGTGCTGAAAGATTGGACGTCAGATGGGTAAACTAGAGTCATTTACCTCTTAATAACTGGGATATTTAACGGATGAAATGTTCGCGAACTTCCCAAAAATGATAAGATAACATAAAACTGTTCATGACAGTGAAGAGGTTTGGTTTTTACTCTTTGTAACAGAGGAAATCTAAGAAAAATGGTAAAGTGGGTTGTGGGAAGAATAAGTTGGCAGAACGAAATGGCTATAAAATGGTGCGTTCATAAAGTAAAGATAAATAGATGAATAAAGCCGTTACTATAAACGGTTTTCTGTTATCTCACTGAAGGGTCACAAACCACTGGTTCTTGGTATTTCCCAGACTCCAGATAGATATACGAAGCTCAAATGAACGATCAAAAGAATTGTGAAATAATGCTAGATCTTTATCTGGTTGCCACGAAACTTTACTCAATACTTTTTTATTTTAACCAATGATAAATATCCAAGCGGGGAAAAAATTGTTGTGCGTGTTGTGTATGCTACTTATGTTGACAGATATAAGTAGCATGTAGCATTAATCGGAAGTGGAATGCATGCTAGCACAGGATCGAGAGGATTCAATTGAAGAGAACAGAAAGTAATCGTAATAACAACAGAATTGAAAGAGTCATGAAGCATGTAAAATACAACTGATGGAAGATATGCAAATTATGTGTTTAATGTATGGTTTTCATATTTTACGAAAGCACTTTGTAATTCTGCATTAAACAATAAATTCGTCTTCTCTACTTAAGTTATTCGTCCACTACATGCGTAGCACGGTAGTAGCTACAGGAGGTTGATAACAGGTAGTTATGTAGGGTAATAAACAAACAATCAATGTAAAGTGCTCTCGGAAACCCTTAGTAAGTGCACTTAACACTTCCTGTCGCAAAAATCCAGTAACCTAATGTTGGTCGCCGGCTACTATGGGACTGCATTTCCTAACGTTGCTCCACTGTCTTGTGGATTAGATCTCCAGGTCAAAAGCTCCGGGTGTGGCCCCCTGAGAAAACCACCTACTTCTATTTGGGCACCCGGGCAGTATCACTGCCCTCACATAAATGAATGATAATTACTACTGGTCTCATTGTTATTGTGTGGCGCGTATGTATTTGGTCCCCCCTTGTACCAATGTTTATGTGTTTAAATAAATAATAAATAAATAATATTTTAATTCACATAGAAAGGAGTAAAGATCTATAGAATTAATGATTAAATAACTGATAAAATGCTTGATGATCGAAGTGAAAGATTAACTAGTTCCAATTAAACTTTATCACCTCTAAGCTATCACTTCCTTCGGCTTCACGATCAATAATATCAAACACTTCTTCCTCCAGTTTTTCACCTTGTGTAAACCCAGCTGCCCAATTATTACCGGCGCCACCTCCATGTTTAGATAAATATACATTTTCTGGGTTGTAAAGTCGAGCGTAAGGCGAAGATAATATTGTATTGATTACACGTGGTTCTAAGTCCAGTAGCACAGCACGAGGAATATAATGAGCATCATCTGCCTTTATAAGAAACATGAAAATGGTTAAATTCTGTGAAAAATCTTAGACAAAAAAATACATATTATTTTTCCTACTATAGTCAGTTATACATCTGAGTAGTCCCCGTAAAGTAGTTACTCGTTATTTTGGCACATTTTAGAATTTCTAAACGATAATGGTTTGGTTACTGGTTGGTGTAACTGGACTAACAACCCCTTTTAAAGGTTATATGTATGACCAACCGATATACGTAGGCTCAGTAATGTGGGATAACTGAGAAAACTGAAACCATTGAGTACCTAGTTGAGATATTTCAAAGTACAGGGGCAAATTCATGGAAAAATAGTAAAATCTGAATTGAGACAAAAATTATGATTGAACAAAAATTTAAGTCATTTTCCTAAAGAGATCGTGTAGAAATAAGAAAGACATTACACTACAAGTATAGAGATTTCACTACTTGCATCTGAGTTGCCAGTTAGTTCCATCATCAAGGAGGTTGAATGACGTGTGAAAGTAAACGCTTCGAGGTGAACATTTCAGGTTCGTTTGGGTCATGCATACTATAGAGCTGAACACAATCGATATGTTAAATACTAATGGACATTGTTTCCTAACAAACTTTGATAGGCGAGAATTATACTTGAAATGCTCTGTGAGGGAGTGCCCATAATAAATTTGTTTACACAACAAAATCTATTCATTAAAACATCTAACTGGGAGAAGAATAAATATACTTTAACTTTCTGGTTTGTAGTGCTTTGTGGATGACACTAGAATAAATATACTTTAACTTTCTGGTTTGTAGTGCTTTGTGGATGACACTAGAGGTTTTAATTTGTTACTCGGGAAACTTTTCCTAGCCTCGAGCTTGTGAAAGTATCATTCTATCACACGATATCAAAAACCGCTCAAGCATTTAGTGTTTAGTATCCAGAAGTAAAATTGGTGCTCTCGAAAGATTAACAAAAACATACATTTACCCGAAGCATCAGTGAATGACTGACAAAAAAGGTGCATTTTGATATCGATAAACTTTCTATGGTAAAAAGTTACGAGATATATAGCCTAGGGATACCACTCACCTGCCAAAACTATGTAATGACAGGTATGAAAACTATGAATAACTTGTTGAAAGCGGAAACCAGTGAACCACAGGGTGAAGAAAACAAATGACTTAATTTATGTAACCTAAAACAATGTCCGAGTAACTAAGGAAGTAATAGATGATTGAAAAAGTATGCAAGCTACTTGTGTGGAAATTTCTTACTTACTTGGTAGAAAAAGACATCTTTGCGATCAGCATCACTTGTTGCGAATTCTTCAAGTGTACCTTCAGGACTGATTCCATGTTCAGCACACAGCTGCTTCCAAAACTCCATCCCAACTAACATTTTGGCGATACAGAGAAAATTAACAGGTAAAAACTATATGAAAGATAAAGTCACTGACTGCTTGTAATAATGTTCATAAATAGATGGACCTACTAAGACCATACCAAAAGTAGATATCTTTAGTTTCAGCAATTAATGTGATAATCTTGAACATTTTCCAATTTTAATACACACAATACAGTTAATCAAACAGGCTTTAGCAATTGCTTAACTGGTAAGATTTATTAGCTTTGATTATTATCTTTTACATGCATTTCCACAACCTACAAACTAAGTATGTGGTAACATAAGTTGCACAACTGATACACTGCACCTTTTGGTACTTGCTTTGTTTAGAAACCTCAGACACCACTCCTACTGCAATTATTTTGGGCAGTTTATTTTTATTTGCTGCAGCTAAAAATATTTGAGAATTCTTTACGGTTCCGATGAAAAATTAAGGGACCAAATTTATATTTCATTCAGAGTAACACATTTAGTAGAAGCATACTAACTAAATTATTGATTGTTATAATCAGCTGACTTCGAAACCTAACTCATTACTTTTGGGTATCACTTCAGTAATGCGAATTCAATAATTTAGGGAGCAACCAGTGTATAATACAAAACGCAAACATAAGATTTTTACAGACGATTGAGTGACTTTGTACTAAAGAGCTTATGCATTCCAGCGGTCCAGTTTAAAAGCTATAATCAGAGGCGGATAAGTCTGTTAAGTTAAAAACAACCCATATCAGAGAGTTAGACTTATTTTCCCTTAGCGCTGACTGTAGTATAAGGGTAAGTCATTACTTACTGCGTCGCGATTGATGTAGTAAACTTCGTAACTCCCGAAAACTAAGCGAAACATACAGTTGATGGACTAGGGAGGTAAAGACATTCTAAAGTGTCAGCTTGGCATAGTCTCGTACGATTAGACGAGATAAAGAAACTTTGTTGGATGTATATATAGTGACATTTTAAGTTGTACTGTCCGGACACAAGAAACATGAATAGTTTAACAAAATATCCCACTTAAAAGCCGATACGAATGGAACTACTACAGTCATGATGCTTGCACTGATCATTATATCTTTAAGATAGTTAACTGCTAAGTGTCATCATGATATCTTGATTGGACACCAGGTATATGAACGATTCTTATTTGTTGAAAGAATATTCACCCAACTGGAAAGCAGTCTCGTCCGTCCAACTATTTGATTGGAACCAGAAACTTGGCGTGGTATTATTTGATAGCTTGATTAAACTTTTCGGCGTAGGGAGGAGTGAGTTTAAAACAATCTGAACTTAAATATACATTACCAAGGCATACGGCGGGATTTCAACGAGGTTAATTATGAAATCAATAGCTTGATACAGACTGAAACAAAAGGAGTTTATGCGTAGTAAAAAGTAATTAAAAAGACGCCATTTATGTGAATGTAGAGGGGTATTTAAGGATACCTTCAGTTTCATTTCTTTTTCAGTTTTACATGATTATACTTTTGTGAATGACCAGGCATACATTTATTTGAAAACATAAACGACGATTTCAGATATGAGTTCCAGCAGAGGCGATCTATATCGACTATTATTCCCACAAGTGTTTTAATGTTTAAATATCGACCCATATTTTTCGGAAAGAATCACAAGGCAAGATGTTTAGTGATGTTAGAGTACACTATCAAGAAACTGGAGTCACGTAAACTGTTGAAAACAGTTTGATGAGCCGGCGAGACTATAATTTATAGATGAAACTATCACATATAAGATAACAGGTCTCGGATTTTGGAGCGAAGTTCATTCATCAATTTGGCTATATGAAGTTTTGGCATTATAGCCGTTAGTTCATGACGAAAACCCTGAATATAATTCTTAGCCTTAATCATCAACTGTGTAGCGCATATGTATCTGGTGCCCTTTTGTACCAATATATATGTATTTAAATAAATAATCATCATCAACTGTAAATGATAATTCGAATTCTTCACACAGGTTTATAACCCTCGTTTGGTGCTAGTTATTAGGTGGACACTCTGAGGGTTAGTCTAGCGTCGTTCAAAGGTCGCACATGAATTATAGTCTCATCGAAGGGCCTTACGAATTATTGGAGCTATATCGACACTTAGAGACGTGACAGACATCAAAAAGACAACCCGCGATCATTCTTCACTAACAAGCCAGTTAACCGTATGTACTTGCTCAGTAAACTATGAGAAAAGTCGTATATCATAGGTGAAGCTACTGGTGATCTGTAAAAAAAAGTTAAATACTTATCTGGCTGTTTTAAAACACAGGCAAGTTGCGGCAAAATAGATTAGCTACTTATACTCGAGAACATTTCAACATGTGGTAAGCGTTGTTTTGCCAAAAATTGTATTTGAAACTCATGAATAAGTAAAACGTCGGAAGAAAATGACAGTATGTTAGCAAAAAAACATACTTTGATTTCCACATTGTCCTAGCTGCAAAGTAATAATATCGCGCGGCATCGTAGCGCACGATCGAAGTACCCCGGGTTGAATGACATAAACTAACCTCAAACTTGTAGTGTGCATAATACTTCATACTCTTACTTTTCACATCCTCTTGAAGCCTGCTTTTATATGTCCAAATCAGTTATTTTAGGTGAGCGTAGATATTTTCAGGGGTTTCACTCTGATGGAAGTGAGAGTCGTAGATACTTTGATAGATAGCTCGTTTGTGTTATATTAATTTCAGCAGGCAGGTGTAATTATTAGGTGGACTAACATGCAGGATGGAGGTAGTACTGTAACGCTAAAATGACTGCCTTAACCATACGGCTGATGCTGACTAGTTTGTTTTGACTGGACACATCGCCAGCTAAAGGCGCGAATTTTTCGTCAACACGTATTCACGTGCAGAATCACAAGATAATATTTGACAAGATATCTCAAATAATCAACATTCGCTTCGGGAGGTCCTGAGAAAACTTGCGTGATGCTTTCGAGGCACATTGATAATTTCATAATTTAGTTATACATATATTCTGAGAAAATACTTAGGAGTTATTATAAAATTCATTTCACACTTTGCAGGCCAAAATTAACGAAACTGGTCTCATATCAACCACGATAGCTTCTCAAATACTTAACTTCATTTAGGTCATACTTTAGAAGTCATTATCTGTTTCCATTATCTGAAAAGTTGAGCAGCAAGACATTTATTTTCGTCGCATTCGAGAGTGAGAAACCAAAACCTTAAAAGTGCTCAAAGAACATGATCTCCCTCCCAAACCGTCACTTGATGCTTTTCTTTAGCGTTTATCTATAACTTCCGAAGACTGTCGGCAAAGCATTACAGATACTGTTGATCAAGAAGTCGTGGGTGTGAATATGATAAGTTCCTAAGATGCGTCTATAGAATTTTTGGAATATCTCCATAGGCAGTAGGAATTTGGTTGACAACTTTAATTTCGCTTAAACGGTCTTGTATATTTGAGTGGTTATAAAAATTTAAGTCAGTGATGATGAGTAATGGTCCAGGGAAGTCTTACCTTCTATTTATGTGTATTAACTGAATAAATACTAGTTATAACCATCCATTGCAGAAATAATTCGAGCTGGGATTGCTCATAGGTTATGAGTTTAGTAAATCTTAACTCGAATACAAAATAGGAATAGTTTTTATCAAGTTATACTTTGATTTTCCGTTTGTTTCAGAGGACGCGCATAATCTTGTGGTTGGAATAGGATACGAGATACTGATATTTAACCAAGGATCACTGTTGTTCCCTAGGTTCTTCGGTCAAATGTCTAGCAAAGTTAAAGGTGAGAACCAAAAATGTTGTTGAACGAAGTTCAAGATGGGCTATTCGCTTTCTTAACCACCGGCTGAGATTGTCGTTAACGTGTACCTACTGAGAAGTGTTCCTATGGTGGGGTTTTGTTGACAGTGAAACTGCTGTATGTAACTTCTCTTTAACTGTTGTCACTGGAATATTATCTTATGTTTCCCCCATTTTCAGACACGTTTGCGTATTTTTTTATAGAAAGATCACGATTGGTAGCCTTGGGACAAGTCTAGCGTTTTGGGGGTCGAAAAGCTTTGTGACATATATTATCGGCATAAAAGACACCTGGGTTGCGGGGGGAATCTATCGTGACAGTGAAACAATAATAAACCTCAACATAAACATGTTCCATTGGTGTGGCTACATTCATTCCACAGAGGTACTTATAAAGTAGTACACCCCAACGATTACTATAGGGTCGATCAAGGTAGAAATCGATATGACTTGAAGTCAAATTATGCAAGTCAGGTATTCACATCATGACAAGTCAACTACAATATTTCAGGTCTACTAATTTGGTGACATAAAGAAGTTCAATTATAGGGAACAAAGTATTGAACAATACTCACAGTGTTTTTGTGTTACATAATAATTATATGATGTCACGACGATTTGTCGTTTTCAAATGTCAAGCCAACAAGGAGAGTAGGTGAAACTTTGAAAAGAGGGAAATGTAGAAAATTTGCAGCTGGACAATGTGCACACTTCTATAATGCTGCACCAATCAGGTATAAAAGAAACTTAGCAAATATATTGACTCATTATGCTAGAGTGATTTACTGTGAAGATAACATTGTAGATGAACTGTGCAATATTCGTAACTTGCTTGGTAGGAATAGACATGCAATCAAATTCATCGACAAACACATGGATTAGATCAAAAGAAGGCCGGATGCATCTACTATTTTGAAGAAGGTACTACCACTGGAAAATTTATAGCTCGAAAACTAAAAAAGGCCGTAAAGAAAACATTTACTGAATCTCAATTGAATGTGTTATTTTACAACCACCCATCAATGAAGACCACTAATAAAGACAAACTACCCGAATTCACCAAACCCATGTGCACTTACCAGTTCAAGTACTTATATGAAACCAGTTATATGGAGCGTGAATTCGGGAAGTCTATCATTTCATAAGAAAACTCCATCCGTCTTAGTTGAGCAATCGACAGGTAAAAGTGGTTAAGAGTTCGATTTTCGCCCACTGGATGGACATCAAGTTGTCTTGGATAAATGAGGTGTTTAAAAGTATTTGAATTATAGTATAAAATAGTAATGCCAGCAATAACGCATGTCAATCAAGAAGTATTAGATGAACACGAACGAATGTACTGTATTTGGAATTCAAAATCAAAAGTCATCAATATAAGTGAATCAATGGTTCATCCAAACACCACAATAACGTTTTTAAGGTTATCCACTACATTCCATCAAATTCACTGCAATCTTAATGAGTTTGTCTTTTGTATGCTGCTGAAGCTATCGGAATCCATGTTCTCAAAAACAACACCAGCATCCACAAAATGTTTGTAGCAGTAAATAAATCCCCAAAATAAATGGTTATGTAAGTCTTCGACATAGATGCTGACCTCGTTGGTTTTATTGGACACACCCAAGCTAAAGGGACTCGATCAAGTATCCTCACCAGATCATGGAAGGTCACTTCGTACTACTCATCCCTTGCCACTGTCAGTCAGCTTGAACCAAATGCTTCTCAGCATACTGGTAGCCTTCCAAATATGTGTATACGACCCTCTTCATTTCTGACATCTGATCTGACTGGGTTGGTGTGCTTTGATTATAAAGGTGTTATGTGTAATGGCGTTATCAAACTCTGAATACCTGTGGGATATTTAAGTTTGCACAAACATTCTCGCTTCCTCTGCCATAGATATGGGAATGAGTTTTAGCTGAACTTCTGTAAGACCCTATCTTAAAAACTTCCAAACTTTTGTAGTTTCTTCCAAATTTGTGTTTTTACATATTCTCAACATCCGTCTCTTGGTTCTCACATTATTACCGTAATACTGGCCTTTCAGAGAAATATTTTGTTGGTTGTTTTAGTATATTATGTGGTGTATTATCTGTTTCAATTTAAAAATGATTACTTTGATTGCTGTAATACCATCTCTTCCAATTTTTCAATATTATTTTGTAATCAAAGTGACATTATAAAAATGTTACGTAACTCTGCAATTATTGTTTCATTGTTGTAGGTCATTTATATATTGATGTAGAGCCGTGATGAAAAACTAACTGAAAATAAATTCCTTCTCTCTATTCGTTCTTTTTACTAAATGTCTAGATTGGAATTTTTATTATAAAGTACACATTTCTACAAAATATTAAAGAGGAGGTTCCGTTCCACGGAGATTTTAGTTCTTAGAGTGGATCAGTCTAGAAGGGAATCAGAGCTGTATGCAAGGGCTAGGAGAACTCTACCAAAATTCGTATGAAAACTCCTTCATCTAAAGCTTACTAGCCATAATATGCCTCACAATGCGCAGTTAGGGAGGTAACCTCTGCGCAACTCCCCTTAACTTGTGGACTGAGTACTGACACGCGGTGGTAATGATATTGGCAGCTGCAGAGAACGAATATGTTTTATTCTGTTCATTTACTAGGGTATTATATGTGTAGTTGATGTCAAATCTGTAAAGTAAAGAAAGATTAGGTCGTTAGGGAAATATGGACGGGTGACGGTGCGGGAGTAAAAATAGGAGTGAATTAATGACTGCAACCGTTTCGCTGACACCGGTGGCTGGAAATAAAAAATGTCCAATAATACTGATAATAACTAAACCGAAGTTTTCGCGCCTATAATTTCAACATTCCAGTCAGGATGTAATGAGCCGTGTATTTATTTAAAGGTAGGGATGAAAGAATGACTTGGGTCAACCAGCTAAGTGGGTAGGCCATAGAAACTAAAAAAATATTAACGGTGGAATATTACATGAGGCTAACATTTAGCCACATATTATAGCATCACACGCTTCTTTGAGTGTCAAGTTTATGGTTGCTATGATAAATGTTAATGACGACGAACTGTAGAAATGCTATGACTGGCTAAATTCAACCAATTCTATTAGAATATAACAAATTGCATGGAGAATAAAAGTGTATTTATTCAATAGGACGAGTGGACTGGACGAAATACATCAAACAACATCGGTAACTGAAATTCATAAAGAGCGATCCTAGAAGACCCATATCCTCGTTTATTCTCGCCGAGATCGCCTTCGAGTTATCTTTATTGTAAAGGGAAGGGGACCAGTTGTTTAATGTGATTCCTGTAAAGCTCGAAATTAGGGTTATAAACAGACTTGTCTGTCTGTCTTCGGATACACTCCGAAGTAATCTAATTCCTTAGAATAAGGAACAAAACAATGTTTCTGAAATCTTACTGGGCTAAAGAATTTTAGGTTAAAGACTCTACTATCAAACTGGTTAAATTGTGGCTCAAAGTTACTGTGGGAAATTGATCGAAAGAAATTATCACGGCTGTTAACACACAATTTTAAGTCTTAAGGAACCGAACCATGCAAATCCTTTTTAACTTACGATTAATTTAGTAGAGTTTTACTTTATTTATATGCGTAGCTTGTGGGTGTCACAATAGAAATCGGAGAGTTAGAATCTGGTTTATTTTTATTTATTAAAGTGGAAATTTGGGTTAGCTCCTGTCTATTCTTCTGGTTGTGGCTTTCTCCCCAAATTTTACATGACCAGCAAGAGGTAGTATTTCTGTAGATAGAGCGATGTCTTTCATATAAGTCAGGATGAGAAAAGGTATTTAATCTTTGAATTACCCATTAAGACATCCTGTGACCTCCGACCTCAAATAACTGATTATTTAGATATGACTTAAACCAATTAATTAGCAACGAATGATACTTGTGGATGACCCAATTAAGACAGATTTGTTGGTCAGATTAATCTGGTTGTGATGAATGATGGCTCATGGAGTCGTTGTTAAATTGCTGCGAGCATGATTGCTTGCTTCCATTACTGACTCATACATGTCCCATGCAGCAGATCCTTTTAGATCTAACAAGCTTAGGGCGTGATTGTGTATGGTCTGCGATTACTTGAAATCTTAGGTGATATTTGTACAACAAAGTTACTGATGGTACACAAGATAACGTCCACTAAGAATTTCGATCAAGACAGACTCTATTCCTTATACTGTGGATCGACTTCAAAAGTTTTTGCATCCAAGTCTACTGAGTCTCAGCGTCTGTTAAATGAGAAGCATTTTACTTCATTTCGCAAGTAAAATGAAAGTGTTGAACGTTGTTACTTCTGTTTTTAAGGAAGTCGATGAAGATGCCACAGGAATTGTAGTTTGACAACACTTTACCAGCAGCATCTATAATTGCCAAACCCAGTGAAATCAAAATTCAGAAGCGAGGAGGTTGGAAGATTTATTTGACAGATTATCAATATATCGAGAATTGACTGATCTAAACTGGATAGTGATCGCAGGAGAAGTTTAGCACGGCGTTCACACTCGTGATCTGGTGCAGATGCATGACGGAGAGCCTTCAGCTAGATGAGTTCATTAAAACTAGTGTGGTCAGCATCCGATGTCGATCACCTACACAGTTATTGATTTTGGGGATTTATTCATGCTATATCGGAATCATGAGGAAACCAACCGTGAGGACGTGATGTAAGAATGAAGGCACCTAGTTACTGCCTAATTTGATTGCTGACTTTACCTTGATAAGCAGTCTTAGTTCTATTGTCGGGTCCAAGGACTGAGCTTCGACGGAGTTGCACTCTCTACAATGTGGACATTTAACAAAGTTGGTTTTAGGAATGTTAAATGTGCCTAAGATTAAGATGCATATACTTGTTTTATAGAAAGGGTACTTCTTTCAACACCAGAATGTCATGCTAGATTTCAGCAGTAGTCCTTTTACTGACAACTCTAAACAGGTGCTTTAAGATGTTGAGTAATATTTTCTAAGCACTATGCAAATTTGTCGGGACCAGAAAATTATAGAGTGCCTGGTTGGTTTTCTGCCGATCGAAAAAGAATGTAAGAAACCGCTCTATCACCTAACACAGTTTTTGTGTCCTTTTGGAACAAAAAGATATCGAGAATGGACAGTAGTCTAAGAAGAAAGCCATGGTTAGACTTATTAGACGCATTATTTACGTTACTTAGTCCATGGAACTAATTTATTTTGTTGGGTGTGTGTGCACATACTATTTCGGATCGAAAAGTCATGTATTTAATTTTCTGCTTCCTCGATTGGGCATTACAAGGGTGAGCAGGAAACCTACCTGTGTAAGGCATTCTTTCCCTAAATGTCTCGAGCTGCACCCCTAAATTCGGGTTTTCTGAAATTCTATGCTCGGTAATACTTCATCCTCGGAGCAGGTCTTGCAATATTCATTCAGACGATTCTATTACGAATGAATGATAGTATTTTTACATCCCCTCAGATGTAAACGAATAAGTGACTAGTAAATCATACGCCATTTAGTCGATGCCAGTAAACGTGACAATTAGTCTCATTTGATCTAGATGTTTGAAATCCTTGACTTGCATGGTCCTTGTAACTGTTAAGGCATTAATCTTGTAAACACTGTGCTTTGAACTTATATTATTTTACCGAATTATCATTTTTATCTTGAAAACATTAAAGAAAATCCAGGAAGCCTTATGAATTCCGGATGATATAGCTACCACGAAGTTCAAACTGTTCCTTGGTGTTTCAGATACTCTGGGGTTGGGATCGCTTGGATTCGGCGATGCCTAAACTACAGTCTGTAGCTCCAATTTTCATGATAGACTTCTGAGAAGTTGTAGAGTTGACCGGTTAACCAAGGTTTATTTCATTTTATTTTGTTCCCTGCTCCTTTGGGCATTTTCAACGTTGAGCATTGAACCAGTTGACAAGAACTAAGTCATTATCAATCATTACCTTCCAAGAAACCATGGTTGCTTCTGGGGTAGCAGTGGTAAGAGATGGGATTTCGCTGGATGAACCTAAAATTACCAACATTATTGTAATGTTGAGGTGCGACATTTCTTGAGAATTGTTTATATTAGGCTTACTTTGTCAGATATTATTGATAATATTAGTTTTTCCCTCATCCGTATTATCATGCGCCATTGAATATTTGTCCATCATATCATTGTTTCCTTTTTGTGTTACTGGTAATTTTCTCTGTAGTTATTCTGAAAAACAGATGTCACCCGGCGTGTCTTCAACACTTGTATCTCAGCCCTCAAAACCCTACTGCCAGTCTAGTGAATTTATACTTTGCAAGATCTATACATACTTTGGGAAACCAGCCGTTGAGTTTGTCACATTACATTCCACACGTGACAGCAAATCGATATTCAGGTCCCTGACAGTTGGATATGATCAAGTATTAGTTGTCAGTAGAACTATTTATTGGGATATATTGACACAACTTGAATACTCTCACTTATCTGGTCCTCTATTTGTTAGAAAGTATTAAGGAGGCTAAAGTAAGAACAAGAAAACTTTGAATAATGATCCGAACAATCTAGAGAGTGGAAGATTGAGAAGTACATAAGTTATTAAAATCCATGCACACCAACGAAGAAAACATCCATCAGAGCTGATGTTGAATTTCCAGACATAAATAAAATAAGCTATCACAGGCCTTCTATGAAACGAAAAGCTAATCATAATTGATGTATTTAAGAAGTTAGATCCGCACCAAGAAAAGATAACAGAAGAGCTTGGGGATAATTTTTCAGAATACAAATGATCTAAATTCATTCTGGTAATCAAATAACATTTGTACTAAAAGCCAACAGATAATATCTTTTCCTACAGTAAATTTAAAATGACAGCCTTTCAATAAAACTAAATTTTTACTAGCTATCAATGAACCAATAATAGGAATCTCTTAGAACAACCCTCCGGAATGTCCAATCGTAGCACAAGCCTGTTTACTTGGTTTAACTAGACATCCACTTTGAGGACTAGATGAGTTTTGTGACCACTGGTAGTAGGACATACTAGGTCCAAGTTGTCTTTTTTGGGTACTATTTTCTGATATCGGCGAAAGTCAACACTTTAGGTTTTCTGAAATAAATTGTTTATTTTGTATCACTTACATCCTGATTGGCTCAAAAGTCGCCTATATCACGATGACATTCGGATTCGTTGAATGATCAGTCACGAGAGAGTAGTTGTCAGGACTGATTAAAATGGGACGAAAACTTTAGGAATATTTTCTAATGATTATATTACCGATTTTTATGATATGTTAGACACATATTGCCACAAAAACCATTAGTCATTAATAGTTACGAAGGTAAATTAAAACTGATAACGCATCTCGGGATTCATAAACACAAAACCAATATACCTTAGTTTCAGGCTGTAAAGTGAACCCGTAACGTAAGCTTCAATGGTACTATTTGACTATGTAGCCAGGGTTACATGAGGTATGTTGGGAACCACAACAACATAGTTCGGATTCGAGGATATAACTTATTAAACTGTAGACAATGAAGAATAAATGAAGTTTTGATCTACTGAAGTAAAGACGTTCAGCAGTTGCTTATAGCTTCACTATGATATTATATAAATCTTACAGAGAAATCAATAATTTGATAACCAAATCTATTGATTATATCAAAACTAAGTATTGATAATGTATCCGTGGCGTGTGTATAACTAATATTTACAATCTTAGAATAGAATATTTGTAATCTATGAAGTTGAATTTAGAAAAGTTTAAGAGGTAAATAAAAGAAAAAATATATATTGAAAAATAATACAAAATGTGCTCTCTAATGTTTCAAAATATTCGATGACTACATACGTATCTTCTTTTAGTTATAAATTGTTTACTTTCCTAGCGTGTTTTCCCATTACTATGTTAACAATTCTTTCTTAAAAGAAGGTTGAACCACATTTTAGAATACATAAAGTTTTAAATCATATATCTGTTCTATTTTGTGACATTAAATTCATAAATTTACCTAAAGCATCCTCGCTACTATCCTGATTGCTGTAATTGGGATTATTATTTGTACGACACAAATCAGGTGAGATATTTGAATTTTCAGCGGTTGTGTTATTAAATTTGGACAGTTCAGTACTGGTGAATTCAGAATTATTAGAATATTGATTGAGGTTGTTTGAATTATTATCAGAATAGTCATATGAACTGTTTACATTATTATAATTATTTGAATTTATTTTAGCACCGACCATAAATTCGGGCCATTTATAATCACTTGAATAAGTTGTTTCATTTGACATTTTAACTGTTGGTGGAACATAGTATTCCTGGGGTCGGAATTGATTTATTTGTTGAATAGGTGGTAGTTTTGAAAATCCTTGATGGTATGTTGTATTTGAATAATGATTATCTACTTTATTTCCATCAGAAGTTTGTGGAGAATATTTTTTTGTCTCAGAAAGAGTGTTCTGAAAGTTTACTTTTGGTAAGATATTACGTGAATTCGTTGTTTCAGTGTGAACATTTTCACTGGGTTGAATACATTCACCTTCATTCTTGTACGGATTTATATCTGGTTCATAATAATTCACATAATCAGTTGAATAACTTGTTTTCAGGTCGTTGTTGATCAAATAATTTATTTTAAGGTTATCTTCTTTTACTATTGGTTGAAGTCTTGATGGATTTTTTATTGGTCTAAAGTCATCAGTATAAGAAGTTGTCATGTTCATCCTAGTAGCAGGATACATATATGAATAACGTGTGGTTGGTGGGCAGCTTTGGTTACATTTATACTCTCTAGATGGCGGACAAAATTCTAGCTGATAACTTGTCTTACCAGAAAATGGTACACTTGGATGCTTGTAACGATATATGGGTTTTAAATTCTCCGTTTTCTTTGCTCTGCGGTATTGAAATTCCTCTGAATATGAAGAAGTCTTATCCATTGGTAGTTTTGAAACTTTTAGATTAGATTTAGGCAATAATGGGTCCCGTTTTTTCGCATATCTCGGAATGAAGTCCTCAGCATAAGATGACTGTGAAACCACAGGTAGACTTGGTGACCTATAAACTTCCGTAGGTTTGTATGACATTGATGGTTCTGGTGTGACTGGTCTAAAGTCATTCAGATATGTAGTTTGACTGGATAACGCTTCATCACTAAGCCACCTGTTTTCTTTTTGTTTTATAGGATATAACTTTTGTGTATACCTAGATGGAAACTCATCCATATAACTCGTAATCATTTCATTATTAACACGAGGCAAATAAATATTATCTTTGGGATAGAATGGGTCATCTTTTTTAACGTGCCATGGTCTGTAGTCTGAACTATAGGCAGTAATGTTTTCCATTTTCATTCTAGGTTTCCGGTACTCATAAACAGGTTTAAAGCTTTCAGGTTTTGAGAATAGATGAGGTTGAAACTCTTCGGAATAACTCGTGTTTTTCTGGAATGGTACTTTAGGTTGCTGATAGACATAAACGGGAGAGTAAGATGTCGGTTTCGACCGTGGTTGGAATATATAGTCTATTTGATAACTTGTTTGGCTTAACATAGGCTCTGTAGGCGTTCTATACTTTCTATACGGTTTGAAGGAGTGAACAGGTTGAGCCACTTTTGGTGGGTAGTCTGTGATATAACTCGTTTCACTTTGAAATTTACCCTTTGGAAACGTTTCGTGGTCTTTCATTCGGAAAGGCATTTCTTTAGGTGACCAAGGAGGATCCTCATATTCTAACTGATAGCTTGTAATGTTCGACATTGGCACTGAAGGAGGTACATAGGATTCGTATGGTTTAAAACTCTTTTCCATCTGGGAATAACGGGGTGGGTAGTCTAGATTGTAGGTAGTGTTTGTGTCCATAGGTTCTTGTGGAGGTAAATAAAACTCTCTAGGTCTATAATCATTAACTTTATCCAACTTGTAGGGCTGGTAATCATCTTGATAAGTACTATCTAGTAAATCATTGTCATGAGGTGATTCCCACTGTGAGAGGGGTATAATCGGGTCTTCTCTATAAAATTTACCATAAGGTTTATAGTCCTCAGTATAACTTGTCAAAAAAGGATCAGCCGCCATACGGTTCAGATTATCATAATTTTCAACATTTTTGTTCATATGGTCGTCATCATGTTCCGTAGGATAGTTTATTGTGTCACTGTACGGATTAGCCATAGTTTCTGTATCTATGTGTATATTACGATCATTTTCTGTGGTGTTGTCATATTTCCAGTCATTTGGATAATATTCTTCAAGCAAATCAGGGTGATAGGGTGGATCTAAATCCCATGACTTTACTGCTTTATCAGATGAAATAGAATTTATATTTGGACTCTTGTAAGAGTTATAATCGCTAATTTTTTGAAAATGTTTATATGCATATCCATTCTCACTAAGTGTTGGATTTGTTATTATATCACTAGACATGAGAAAATATTTTGATCAAATCAGAATGATTGATTAAGTAATATCTAAATAAAATAAAAAAAAGAAAATTGAGAATCACAATCTTTAAAAACTAAAACTATTAGCATTTTACAAGAATCGCGAAACGCATGCGGATGAATAAAGAAAAGATAATTGTGTATTTAAAAAGTAGCCACAAAAACCTAGAAAACACAGTTGTCCTCAGTTATGGAAATTACGAATTGTATGAAGCTCTGGCTCTGACCCATATTTCACGATCTAACCACATAAAATATGCTCTTTAATTCAAACCTCCAAAACGAAAGTTGAAAGGGAGTTTCTAAAATAAAAGTTAATTTAATAACATACCTATAACAAACTAAGGAGAAAGTCATACGACAAAGAAAGTGAAGGACATTTTTGGACATCTGAAGCCCTATTTAGAATTGAAGGTTCGTTTTAAAACTCTAAATCATTTAAAGGTAAAGATGATAGGTCTGTTTGTCAGAGTAAGATCGACCAAGATAGTCGGAACATGTATTAATCTTTCTATGTCATAGTTTAATGCTACGTGGATTGTCCAGAGCGGAAGTATGTATGAAAAGTGGGTAAGCTGATCAAAATTAGTTGACTGTTGGATTGAGCTATATTAAAATGTTCATGTTCCTTGGTTGTGGTGAGCGAGTTATTAGCAAACAGATGACGATGATCTTTGGTGACGTGTTTCAAGATTAGATTCAGTAGTACAGATGTATTCATTCTTATTGCTCCGACTGATACAAATCTTTTTATATGTCTAAGAGCATTGATATTATTCATCCAAGCTGTAAGCGAAGCACGAAATAGATGTTAATTTACCAAACAGAAAGCATAAAATCCATAAATATCAGACGAGAAAAAAGATCAAGCCATTGTTGGGATTTCTTTAAGGTAAGGACGATAAGTTATTTTATTTTATTTTCGGCCAAGAATTTGACGGATATGGAATAAAGTCCTTTCTTTAACCAAGTTGTTTAATGTTAAGCTTAAACAATAAATTTAATGATAATCAGTATAATTATTCTTGTCCTCAGTAATGAATGAAGCCTAAGAGTGCAATCGCTAAGCTGGGTAATAATATTTTCAACGGCATTCTGTTTTACATATAATCAAACATTTGTTTAACAAGTGACGACAGTATGTTGGTAGTTTTTAGCATAATTGCAAATATGTTTAAAGTAGTATACAGTGGAAACCAGATTGATCATTGGAAAAGATTTCCACAGTCTGTGATGAAAATCACCATAAGTATTGACAAAAAGCTTAAATACAGTAACCTAAAATAAGTTCTTTACCATCGTTACAAATTAATTTACGAATAGTTGTTTCTTGTTTGTAAGTCTTAAGATAGTAGCAATAAACTGATAACACGGGGAAAAATTTATAACTAAGTTTAGGACTCGTTCTTATGATGCGTGGTACATGTTTGCTACTTCGCTATTCCCTTATTGAACATAACATATTTGTAGTATGTAGTGAAAGTATCTCCAAGTTCGTAAGAAATCATAGCCAACCAATTGGAGATATAAGTCAATACTTAATTAAAGCTTCAATTAAATCAACTCGAAAGCTTCGTTAGCTAAAGGAGACTAATCGAATAGTCTAGCAGATATGCTTTCCTTGGACGATTTCATTTCAGGATCCAGAACTATTAAAATAAGCAAACCCTGTTTAAACTGTCTCAAGTAAACAACGAAACTAATGAATGGTAGCAAAATTACAAAGGGTTTATAAATTTACAAGCCTTTAGTGAACCAACATCATATAACATAATCAATTCAATATAAAATCACTGAAATTAACGGAATTTACTATTGAGGTAAATAAGTAGCTAAATATCTAAATTGATTAATAGAGTTCATTAGGCGAATTCCAGTTCAGTATATCATCATAAATTATGGACACCGTGAAAACTTACATTTCAATTATCGTTGATAAGTGAAACAAAATTTCACTACTTTCCAGGATGATGTTCTGTTGTCCTCCGGTTCTTTTTACATGATTCATGACATGATTAAATTAATCACTATACAAAAACTACTGTATATTTCTGTATTAAACATTCTCAGTTGTAAGGTGTCAAATGATAAGTCATACATTTTTATATTTAGTCCATATCGGTTTTAATCTAAATCAAATCATACATGTTGTTTTTAATCAGACATTTATTATTTAACTATATGTGAGTATTGTTAACTGTGTTTAAACAAAAGTTTGTTAAACTATTCAAAAACAATGAAATAATTGATGAGTGTAAACAATAAATAACATAAGCCAAGATTAATATGAATGATTGATTGATCGACTCAAAGTATTTCATTTATTCTTGAGTAATATAAGTTAAAAGTAAATCCCATTAAATTTCTTCACAAGTTTCATTAAATTAAACAAAACAAAATCATTCATTATCATGACTAAAATTTTTTTATATAGTTAAGATCATGAATCAGTTGAAGCTAGACCACTATCGAAAACATGGAAGCACTGGACGGCCACCTCGTCACATCGTGGGACTCCTCAGCAGTTCGCATCCACGATTTCGCCTCGCGAGATTCAAACCCAGAACCTATCAGTCTCGCGCTAGAGCACTTAACCGATAGACCATTGAGACGGCATACAACAGTGTTCATGCCTAACCTCAACCAATCCAGTGCTTCCAGGTTTTCTATAGTGGTCTAGCTTCAATTGATTCATGATCTCAACTATATAAAATTACTAAAATCTCCACAAAACCCCCTTCTGATTAAGAAAATTGACTATCTATTTTGATAACATCAAGTAATTTTATTGAATAACAATTATTGAATTTGTAAACAATTGATCAGTTACTTGTTGGCATATGTGCATCCTGTGCGGGCTGCTTCAATATTGCCTGAATTCACAAGTATTATAAGCAAAGATGGATAATGGCTAGCAGTGAAATCTAGGACACGTGTTTCGTCTTATTTGGGACTCGTGAGCTGGATGTACCTGCATCTCAGAGTTGACATTCATCAGAGATTGATTTCAATTGGGTGATCATTATAAAATCAAGGACGCTTGAACAGTTGCTCAGTCCTAGCATACGGCTCTGGAGAGGTGAACGCCGATGATAGCATCAGAGAACAAACCTAAGACCTTTAAGTCTCTCGTCAAACTCTTTATCATTAGACCGCTAAACTGACGTACAATAATACACCTCGACTTTGTTTAACTTATGGACGTTACTAATCATGAAGTATTCGATTTGAAATATAATCCAATAGTATGAGTATAAATTAATTGATTATTTGAGTTTAATATAAACAGACCAAATGCGAAATTTACAGTTCACTTGGATTATGAGGAAGATACAATTCTGTTGCAGATTTGTATTATTAAAAATATTTATTGAATAATACGTCTCCTTTTATTAATTTGTAGTGTTATTATTTTAAGAGGGATCCTCATTTTCATGCTCATTGATATAACATTATAAAAAAACCCCGAAAAATCCATTTGCTCCCAAATATTAGGGAATGTAACATCAAAGAATGTTCTTCGGAAGACCTAATCTTATATTGTTAATATATCAGACTGAATAAAGGGATTTATGATTTATAACATATATTTCTTTGACTACATTGTTATAGTAAAGAAAATTTAACAACAAGGTGTAGTCAGTGATACCGGGTCGATTATAACTTGAAAGACTTATGATGATAAATTAATTTTGGAAACCTTAAAAGTACTATTGTTTCCTTACTTCCTTAAAATAATGTATTTGAATCCATTTTATAGTAAAACGAGCTAAAATATCTAACAAATTATTGAATGGAAAACTTATTCTCTACCTTTTACTAAATAAATGTGAAAACCAATTGTGATTAAGAGGTAAAAATTATTAATTAATAAGATGTCAGTTAATTGAAGTTGGTTGCTTTGACTGGTAAATTTCATTTATAACTGCTGAGAATTATATGGAGACTAATGGATATAATTAAGTACTTTGAGAGGTTATTCAGCGCTGAGGTAAAAAGATTGATCTTTCATCGTCTACATCATAAGGAAACTTCTTTAAACCTATGCTGTATATTAGATAAAAATAAATCATTTAGGAAAATAAGCTTTTGTTCAACTATCCTTAATTTGAGTAAAACACAGCTGTTGTTACATTTTCTTTTATTCAAATCTAGTGTAAAACAAAATTATTTGAACTTAATAAAACAAAAAGTTCCAGAATTTTTGGAAATGATTTACATTTTCATCTAATTTACTTAGAATCTGTAAATTCAAACATTGCTAAACAATATCATTAAACAAAAGAATTTACTTTCTATCTATTTATTTCAATCAAAGAACTTTAAAAACTTATAATACTGGGTCATTTCTATTAATAATATATAGAAGAGAAAAGAAAGTTTCTGTAGTCGCGCTCATTATTGATTAAATACTAAGGGTTGATCAAAACACATTAAAGTTAGTTATCAGCAGAAGAAGACCATGAATATGACTTGATGAGCAGGTGAAACTACTCATATCTTTAGAATTGCTACTATTAGGACTAAGTTAGTGTATATCTTTTAAGTTTAGTGATATTTAGACTAAGTTTCCATCTGTGATGATATTATGTTCGCAAACACTCTAAAACTAAATCAAACATTTCTATGATGGCAGTTTTACGCTGTTGTAAGACAGAAAAACGTAGTTTCAAATATGAATGATAAATAGATGTTTTAATTTGTGAATCTTGATAATTTTTGGTGAATGATAAACAAACATTATATCAGACAAGATTAAATAGAAAGAAAGAAGCATCTGTGTTTTGTTGATATCTCATTAATTACATTAATTACTGAAAGCCAGGTCGAATAAATATGATTTACTACTGTCTAACGTTGAAAGTCAGAGAGCATTGGACATTTGTTCTTTTCCCACAAAAGATCGAACCTAGGACCTTCTAATCTTTCAGTGAACACATAACCGTTAGAACCACTGGGTAGGGATTTAACGGTAGAATTTAATCAGTTCACTAAGTAGTGCGTCGATTTATTTCATTTAGTAATAA